TGTTTGTGTTGGGTTATTTCCCTTTAGCTGGTTCTAGCTCTGAGAATGCAAAAATGCATTAAGTGTCCTTATTATTAAGGCACGTGTACGTGGTTGATACTTACTCTGCTGGCAACCAGTAAGCCTATATACCCTAGGCAACATACTCGAGATAATTGCAGGGGTGTGATGGGGGTGCATATTGCGGACTAGAAAGGAATCTCATTTCCCTCGCTCCAATCCAGGTGAGACCTGTCTACGGCTGCAGATTCGTGAAGAGGTGGCCAAAGACAGCCTTCGTTTTCGGCTATGATGAGCTTCCAGCTTCATAAGGTGATGCATGAGGATGAATAAGGTTCTGTTTTTTTAGGATTTTCTTCTGTTCAAGTGTTTGGCGTCGGGTTGTCCGCCTCCACATTAGGCCCAAAGAGTCATGCATTCATTGGGGTGGCCAGGTGGCAAACATCCCCACTCATTCTTCCGCTCCGCCAAGGTGTGCGTCCAAATCTGCACCACCCTCCCTCCAACCGAACCATGGACAGTCCAACCCTGATGAGCTCTATCATGACTGAAGCTAGTACGAAAGAGAATAGAAGCTCCCACAAGCCAGGAGGGACTCCTCAACACACCCCAAAGACAAGGTCTCATTCCCTGGGATAAGAACCTGAAAGACAGGCTCAGTATTTTGACACTTGTCCCAGGTGGTACGCAAAGGCGCGCTTGTGCGCGCTCTGCTGGAGGGAGATGACATCGATCTTGTCGAGGTATTACCGGACAGGGCTTCATGTATTTCCAAAAAAGACTACATCAGGTTTCCAAGAGAGTATGCCAGAGACATGCATGGTTTGGATGTTCTGGGCTTGGCCTGAATGATTCGAATGCGAGTTTGGTTTTAAAATTACTTTCGGCAACAACTAAACCTTATAAATAAGAACGGTAAGGAGATGCCCTTCCAAATTGATTTGTCCAGGTGCTACATTACTTTTTTTTGCCGTTTCCTGGGCCTATGCAGGACCTTTGATCGACATTTTGGCTTTGAAGCTTTTGCGTTCTTCGGGATTCTATACTGTGCCTGTGAGGGTATCCCGGCAGGTTCCCACAGCTTTGGCACAGAACCATGTAAGGCTCAAAATCATTGATAATCGTAGCAGTAGTAGTAGTAGTAGTGAAAATCATGGCCTAAGGTGTCATAATAGTACCATAATATTATACTAGTAGTAATAGAAGTAATGGTGCTCCAGACAAAGGAGTCTTCTACCCATGCTTTGGAGTCGATCCACACAGGGCAAGAGCCAAAGATCCTTGTGTTTTGGGGTATGGCGGTAACTGCGAATCATATCTCTTTGCAGACCTTCATTTTTTCTCCATTCGCTTCAAAACATCTTGGCGCGCTCCACCTCGTACACTCAACTCATATGGTTTCAGGTTTCTGCCTGACTTATGGGCGGCCTTAGGCCTTAGGATTGGCGGCAGACCCTTTGCAGTAGAGTTCATAATAATGATGGCCCGGCTCCGATTTGGTAAGCATTCTTATAGGCGGGACCCCTAAAAGTTCAGGCGTCAAATCACATTGACAATTATGCCGCTCCAGATGGGAGATGCGCCGAAGTGATTCTCCTTGCGCTTCAGGATTACCACTGGTAAGTAGTTTGCCATAGCGAAGTCTGCGGGAACTAGAGATAACTAGGGTACCATGCAAAACCAAGATCCTCTCGCTACGGCATTTGCTTATCAAGCTGAGCCGGAATTTGTTGAGCGCAGGCCTTCTCGCGTCTTATGCTGAATCTGCATGGTTCGTGACATGGCTTGCATTAATATGGTCTTGCTGGAAAGTTCAGAACTTTACGAGGTCCATTAGGCTCAAGACACATCAGGGGTGGGGATGTTTTGAGCCCCTCACGTAGCAGATTCAGCTACTAGAGGTGATGATGTTCCTCATGGTCTTGCCAGGACAAGCGCTTCACAATCATGTTTCCTTCATCGCTCAGCTGTTGTGGCTGCACCGAGGAAGCCAGGTGGACCCCTTGGAGCTGCGCATCGCGGACCGTTGCGGCCTTTTGTTCTTTCTGCTTCTCGTGGGGTACTAGTACGCGGCAAGGCATGGTCTTCTTTTGAAAGTCGTGTAGGGGTCACTAGGGTTTGGAAGAGTGATGAAATCACGATCCTTTGGAGACGTCTTGGACGTATTCAGGTGAGTGAGATCCTGAATTTGCGCGGATGCTCGCCTAACAGCCATAGCATTCCGAATCACAAGCATGGCTTGCTACCTGGAGATTGCTCTCTGTAGTCCACTCAGGGCCAGGCTCTAGTTCGTAAACCATGATTAATGAGTACAGGTTCAGTTGTGGGAAATACCAACATGTTTCCGCAGCCGTTCCGGCTCCAGGTACCTTGCGCAGTGAATTTGCATTGCATGAGAGCGGCCCAAAGAATTCAAGCACCCCTACACGCCTGTAGATCCCTAGAGTCAGCACATAAACTCCCAAGCCACAGAACGTAGCCGAGCTACTCAGACTTCCGTAACTTCAGAATAAATGACATCAGCCAGCTTCGATTTGGCGCAAGTAGATTAAGACCCTACGTCGGCCCTACGTAGCCACCCACAATCCCATACAAACAATTCTTGCAACCCCTATGCGTGCGGCACCTCTTGTCTAGGCCTGTGTATTTCAGCCCGAGAAGCCCTGCGAGCCTGGTTTTTCACGCGGAGGGAGCTGCGTAACCATGGCCCCGGCAGATGAGAGCAATCCGAATCCGGACTGCTGGGGCAGGTTTAGGGTTCAGGGTCTAGAACTCTAGATTCACAGCAAGCCAACAAGACTGCAAGTATGGTCCAGGTTTTGGAGAAGATTTCTGGGGGCCACATACTGTACAGGATCCCATCTTGTGGAGAGGTAGGGGCCTTAATTTTGGCACCTACCACTGACGGCTTGCGATCAATGAGAAGCCTGATCCTCAGGAACCGGAAGAGTCGCACTCCCTGTTTTAATCAAACGCAATTTTCGGCACAGGGGTTGCTTAATCATGGGTTTGCACAAAACATGCTGCGGGATCTGCGCATGGCACTGTTGGGTTTTCGTGCTCTTGGTTCCCATTCGGGACTGTTTCCATTGTGCATTCAGTCCATCAACACGTTCAGAAACTTGATTTTTGATATTTCGACCATATTCCTTAACCCCGGCAGAGTCAGCCACTGCCTGAGACTGTCTTATGATTGAGGTTAATAGTTTGGACCAGAACCCCTGCGACGTGTGAATCAATATGATGTATCATCACCGTTGTCTGCTCATTATTCGGTATCCTGTATCCTATTCGTAGTTCAGCACAAGGCCCTTGAAAGCCTCTGTCGACTTGGGAGGAAGTTTCTTTTACGCTCCCACCGCCCGAGATGCTGCTGTTGCCAGGGCCGCTGAAGGCAGGGAAGGATCCCTACTGTAGCGTTATACATACTGGTTCTTGGTAGGGAACAGGGGAAGTTGATCCCTCTATAATCCTTATTCCTTTAATCCCTACCAAGAACCAGTAAGTATATCAATTCTACGGGAGGTCGATATTAGGGTACAAAGGGTGGTTCTCGAGGTGGTCTTGGAGCGTCTTTTCACAGCATAATCTCAGCTTTTTTCCTGGTCTTACTCATGGACCCGACAGAACCTTACATTTGTGGAGGTGACATGTTTGTGGATGTTGAGGTTACGCCTGGCTCCCAATATTCTGGAGTTTGACACCTCCAGAACAAAATGCTTGCGAGGCTTGTCAGCTTCCACTATGAAGCTCATTCCTTGATTACTTCCAGATACTACGTGGATGACGGAATCTTGTTTGGGCCGCAGTAGGACACCAGCCAACCAACGCCCCTCGCCCTTAAGCTCTGATGCCCCATGCCCCAAACGCTTAACTCTCACCCTTTGTCCTGAGTCTGAGTGCCTCTTGCAGAGGCCCCGAGTTCGCCGCCACAGGTTTCGCGCCTCTGTTCTGCCATAGCAAGACGCGACGGGACCACAATGTAATCACAATCAATTATTCCTTGTTATGACTATAACTATGGCGGAGTCCTTAGTGGAAATGCTCTAAACCCAACAGCCACGAAATGGCTCGAAAGTTCTTGCAACCATGGATTCGGGGTTGTTTGGAGAGGTCCAGGACAAGGCTGGGATTCATTCGTAGTCGCTGCCTTCTGGCTTTGCAGTCGCGCCATGTGCGATGGATACTGCAGGAAGATGCAGGACATGGATGCGTGCGCGTGGCAAAGCATGACCTGTGAAGTGACGTTACCTTGAATTCCAGTCCAAAATCCATGTGAGCTAGCTGAGGAGCGAGGAGATACAGTAAGGGGAGATGCAAATAGGCATGTTCCACTTATTGTTTTCCCAGTCTACAAGCCCATTTGAGGTTTAGACTTACAAGGCTCCCTGTAGAGCTTGCTGTTGGAGGCTTCCGCCGTGGTCTCTCCGCCAGCATCCTCCCATGCCTCGGGGCGGTCGGGCCGGTCTCCCAAGTCCCCAAAGTAACCAAGCCGCAGCGATGCATCTTACTATCTTTGCTAGAACCTTGCTAGTAGGAGCTTGTTCGAACCTTGCCTGGAAGCCTGAGCCCCACAAATAATCCCGCAACTCCACCTGATCTTCTGACATCCTTAAGCTGAAGGAGCCCCTAAGCCGTAAACTTGCTCCCACCGTTGTTGTTTCTCATCTTGTCCTGTTACATTTCCCATCATCGAATGGTTGTACTTTGTACATGAGTACTATACATGAGTATTATGCATGTATGTGACAAGTGATAGAATGTGATCACATATGCAGAGCACACTTGAAACCCTAAACCCCAAACCCAAAGCCCTAAATAGTAGTTTCCATTCTATTTTCCATTATCCCAATATAATCCTTATATATATATATACATACACCCTAATATTACCCCAATGAACGTTGCTGGAAAAGGGTCAGCCGAGGTCTCCTCGATGGAGGCGTATAGGCCTGGGCATAGGATCTGGGAACAACCTGAACACGTCCTCCCATTCTGTGATGGCAGCAGACTCTTGGGGCCTGTATCTCAGAAGGGTCCAAGTACCCAAGAATTAGATACTTGGGTGTTGGGTACTAGTAGTTGTAGTATAGGTTTTGGGTAAGTACATGATTGTCAGGTACTTGGACCCTTAGGGTATGATAGACTTCTAGGGGTCTGGGGTACAGGTTTAGACTGTTTGGGGCTTAGGCAGTATGCAGGCAGATTTTTTGTAGGTACTACATGGTATTACGGTCTCGGGGTGTCTGTTGGCGGTGTGGTCTCGGCTTTGGATCCTTGTACGACAATCTTCTAAGGCACCACCCCGCAATCTACCGGGCCTGAGAAGCAACCCCAATTTTTTGACCCTAGGCACTGAACACTAAACCCTGGTATCAGCCGGTGTCAGTAAGGAGTCTGAGCAGCTCAAGAAGAAGTTGATCACACGGCTGGTGGCGAAGGGTGGAGCGACTGTGGAAGATTACTACTGGGAGGAAGGGGCGTGATCCATGTCATGCTCCTTTTTCTAAGTCCATGCTGTGGCTGATACACACGGTTGCAGTGGCCGTTGCGGTTATGCAGGGTTGCGTCTGAGTTCTTGCTCCCATTCTGCTTCGTACATCCAAGTGTGTAGGTGCTATTGTAGTTCGTCCTCTCTTGCTATGATATCAGTGATATCAGTGTTGCAGCTTGAGAGGCAAGGAGCTTGAGCCGCTTCTTGTTTCTCTTAGATAATCCTGTCTACCGCGTGTCTCCATTTGCTTCCAGTATGCGTTTTGCTCCCGTGATTGTGTCTGTGCACATCATACCCTTGTAGTCTTGGTGCTGCCATGGAGTTCTCTGCTGGCAGGACGGACTTGCACAGGACATGGCCCGAAGTCCGATGTTCCATCACCTGACGCTTTTTATGATCGTCATCTACGCGGTGTGGATTGCCATAGATGCTGAGATCCCAGGTAGAAGGCTTTTGTGATGTCAGTTTAGGCTCCTTCACTCCAAGGGCAAAGCTCCCGACCGCAACCCTAACACCTAAGAAGGAGTTCCGGTCCATGAACCCCAAGCCCACGCCCTACATGCCAGCTTCATTCATACTAGGAGCAGCTTTTTGTAGTTTATTTTTTTTGGCAAGTAGTGGAACACCTACTAGGCATCATGGCCCCGCAACCTAATATGTGGGTGTTTCAAGATCCCGATAATGCCCTCATACTCCAACCATATCCCCAGGGTCTCTAAGGGTGCCCCTGCTTGAGAAACTCGCACATGGTTGAGGATGCGGATGGTAACAAAGCGTCGGTATTGCTGGAAGCGGAGATCCAGTACCAGATTCCAGAGCATATCTTCTGTACTTACTTCTTCATTGAGTGGATAATACGCGCCTTGGTTGAGGTCTGAAGTTTTGGGTTTAACAGCGCAGAGCTGTGGAGCCTTGGTCTACTGGCTTAGGGCTTACGATTGAGGCGTAGGGCCATGATGTAAGCACCGTATCAGTTCATCACCCTGACATTGCTACATTATGGTACAGCAAGAACTCTTGGATGATTTGCTTCAGGGCAGTGCTGCCATCACACATGCCCGAAGCAGCACCAATAGCCTGAATCGCAACAGTAATCGCAAGTGATGATGCTAAAATGCTTTCAAAACTCTCGTAAGCCTCAAATGGCTTACTGCAAGGCTTCCTGGCATTCAAGACAAAGCGCTGGGCGCTGAAAGATCGATGGTTTGTGTTCGCCGCTCGGCTAGGCTTCTGGCTTTGGAGTCATTGGTTTTGAGCTTTGGGTCTAAAGCCTCAAACTCTAGATTTTCGGCATGGATTTTCGATTTTGCAGTTCGGTTTTGTTTTTCAAACCTTGGGACGTCTTTAGCGGAGCCCAGACGGTGGATCCTATCATTTTAGGAGGTGACTGCACGTGGTTCAGGACACCATCCTGGTGTCGCTGAACGTTGCCGAGACATGGATTCTGACCATCGTTTTGGCGTGAAGCTCAGTTCCTGACAAAGACAAACAATTTCAGACTGAATCCCTTCAATCTTGTCTGGCAAGCCATCCAGACTCGTGAAGTTTTGATACAACAAGAAGGGGTTTTCTGTGGTGGAGCAGCGTTTGCAATAGAACCCGTCTGAAGCCCAGTCGCGACACGAAAGCTGACCTCGCTCTTCAAAGCAAGAAAGAGTGGGATAAGATAAGATTGAGATGTGCCCGCTTGTCCGTCTGAAGGAAGGCAACCCTAGACCCTAAACCCTAAACCCAAAACCCTAATGCACCTAAGGCACTTAGCCATGGGCAAACAGCAGCTTGCCTTGAAGTTGCCCACGCACCTGAATCCAGGTCTTCAGCCCCAACATGTCGGTACGGTACCTCCCCCTCATTAGGTAGGAGTTTCCCTTTTCTCTTCCACTATCCCTACCTAACCCCTCTATAACCCTGTATAGCCCATATAGAAATGTTTTGGGCAGCTTCAAACATTGAAGGCCTAAGGTCTGATATCATTACAGCCACAGCGGGGACGGCCTCATGGGGATGGTCCTTGTAGAGTACGGCAGCAAAGCTTTGGACTTCTGCGAAAGTGCTGGTCATCGAGTTAATTTTCACTGCAGGGAAAAGCTAGCAAGCCATCCTGCATTTTCAAAAAGGGGTCATAACTTTGATGGTTTAGCCTTTTGCAAAAGGAGCGTTAGCGCAGGGTTCATTTTCAGGGTTCTTGGGTTCTTGCTTGTAGCAAGGACATTTCACCTGACTGTTTTGTGGGTTGCGACCCCAAGCACTGCAAATGATGACTCGGACCCGGAAAGACACAAGCTCGACAGTCTCATTTTAAGGGAACCTATCAGAGCAACATACAATTCTGACTAAGCAGCGGGGATTTCAAACGCGGCAAAGGTATCTCAAGCCTACATGGGCACTGATGAGAAACAATATTTGCAATTTGTCTCTTTATCTTAGCCAGTCTTGCCTGAGCCTCCACGGTCGCAGACGCCAAAGGGTCAAGGTCAGATATCTTTGAAAAGCGGTCTTGATGCGAAAGCTGACCGATTTCTAGCCCCGAATGGCCTGCTTGCAAACATGTAGTTAAAAAAGGTGGAAGCTGCAATGATAGATTTAGCTATCATTATTGCTGCTCTTTATAGTGGGAAAGGTTTTGGTGTGGTATGACAGCTTCCCAAAATAGGGGGACCCTATGTACTATAATCCGTACTGTGGGGACCCCCCAAAATCAGGTACCCCTAATTTTGGGAAACCCGAAACCCTATACACCACTACATAACCCTATACAACTCCTAAAAAACCGTTTGCAGGTACCCCTAATTTGGGGAACCCCCCCCCCCATAAGCATGGAAACCATCTCAGTATCATTCATCTCAGGATGCGCTTGCGGGGACGTCTTCGCTGCGCCCCTCGGCTGCAGCTGGGGATGCCACGGAAACCCACACCCTCTTTGGGGGTTATACGGGCTTACATAACGGTTCCATATATATATATATATGCTGGCCCCCCCCCCCCAAGATCTACGTTTAGAGTGTTTTTTTCGCCTCTCAGAGGAAAATCCTTC